GCTTTTTGAAAAATCTATAAATGCACAGTACAAATATTCCTTATTATTTAAAAAATGATTAATTAACCCATTAAGAACAAAAACATTATCAGTTGTACCCATACCTTTTCTAAAACCTGCCTGAGCTTCAACATATATAGAATAGTTTTTTCAGCCCAACTATCGAGTCTGTTGTTCAAAATTCGACTAAACAATTTTGCCAAATGTACTCAGTAATGTGATTCCACGGTAATTTCCTGCCTCATTTATATCACCAGACTTATGGATTGGAACAACAAAACCCTGACTCCATTGCTCAGGAAAATAACCCATGCTTAAACAACTATTAAATAACACATGAAAGTAACTTTTTAATTGATCAGCACCATTTATAAAAAATTCATTTAAAAACATATCTGGTCCACATGCCGTGTTACACTTTAACTGCTTTATAGCTTTGATAATTTCTGTGATTGTTATTTCTACATCTAATTCTTCAAACATAACTTGTATTTCGTTATTGAGAATCATATCGTTAAAATGGCTATCTGGGTTATTTATTGCGCTAAAATAATTCGCAAATGTATCTACACCTATTTTGGGAGAGCTATTATTACATACAGATTCCTTAAGTAATTGCCAATAAATTTTTGCATTTTTATGTCTTGACTGTATAAACCTATCAGTATTTTCTTTTTCTATGTAAAATATTTTTTGCTTCTTTATCATGTTTTTATATTCCTTTCTTGAATCGGCCATCAAGTTACGATTGTCATCTGTTTTATTTTTATTGTAAATGTTAACATTGTTATAAAAACTGTTTCCGTTTTCTTGAACATTCGCCATCAAACCATGGTTTATCGGAGTTTTGTTTTGTATCCCTCTTATCAAAAATACGCTTTCCAAACAAAGGTGTACAAATGTTTCCCATAATTTCAGAAAATTTATCAACATTTGAATCAATCTCTGTTGGACTCGGGGGCGACACCCAAATCCTCCTTAAGAGTTTGAATAGAATTTTGAAAATATACATCTGTCAATGATTGTTTATACATATCAATTTTATTTGGGTCCCATTTGTAAGTAAAACGTATTTTACTATCACATTTATCATCCGTTTGCCGTACATTTTTGAACATCATTACATTTTAAACTAAAACTAACTGTACAATGATCGGACAATATGTTAGGCATTCCGACATTGAAATAACAAAAGGTATTTAAATAGAAGGACTAGCGAGCACATAATCTACTAGACTTTTACCCGTATGACTTATATATGTTATAATTACCCGGGTCTTTACATACTCGACCATTCATAATCCTTAAACCGCTTTTGCTTACAAAAATCGATCAGATCATGGCCATTTCTATTGACAATACTATCTTCGGTTAATCTTGGTAATATAACATCTGTATCATAATCATCAGGCAAAAAAATAAACATGCTTATCTAAATCATCATACTGTATAAAATCATCTAAACGGCCAACCCTACTATTCATGTCTCCTAGCACCAAATATCTACAATTATCATTTGTTTCTGCAGATATCTTAACCATATCATCCAAGATTCTATCATAAACAGGAATTTGAGTTAAATGTTCGCGGCTACTGCCTTGAGGAATGATATAACATAAGCATATATATAAATCACACTGGCGCTCATAAAATACATTAGATAATTTCAACCAAAGAATATCATCACTGTCATGATGTACAAGTTAGAAAGCACGATCTAACGTAAGAAAGCAAGATGTAATGTTATATAAAGCAAATGACCAATCACTTCATCTTGAAAAAAATCTTAGTAAAACTAGCTATTAAAACGCAATTCCTTTAATATTGTCTTCATAAACTTCGCCATCATTTTAATTTACAAATGATTGGCAAAGAAAATGGAAAAACAAAGAAAGTAAAATATGTTGTACAATGTTAACTTTTATTATGATGGATATCCTTTAGAAATAGTTAACAAATTTTCATATCTAGGTATTGTTTTTACAACTGGTGGTTCTTTTTGTGAGACTCATAAAACTTTATCCGGTCAAGCACAGAAAGCGATTTTTAGGTTAAGAAAGTATCTGTACAAATACACTAATACTAGTATTTCAATTGAACACACTTTGGAATTATTTGATAAATTAGTTAAACCGATTCTTTTGTACGGTTCGGAGGTATGGGGTTTCACTAAAGCTCCACAAATAGAAAGAATTCATACTCTATTTTGTAAATCTATTCTTTATGTTAAAACCTCTACTCAGAATGATTTTATATATGGTGAACTTGGTAGAACGGATCTTTATTCACAGCGTATTTTTAGAATAATTAAATATTGGTTAAAAGTTACAAGTAGTATAGAACGAAAATATATCAAATTGATTTACTTGCAAATTGTTAAGTGATATAGATAAAAAAAACCAGGGTTATAAACTGGGCATCTCAAGTCATAGACCTTTTAGGAAATTTAGGATTTTTCGAAGTTTGGCTAGCTCAGGGTGTTGGTAACCAAACATTGTTTTTATCTAAGCTAAAACAAAGAATTTCAGATGTTTTATTCAAGAATGGACAAGTCGTATAAATTTATCATCAAGAGCAAGATTTTATAGAGTATTTGCAAAATTTGAATACAGCTTTTATCTAAAAAATGTTAATATAAGTAAATACTTGACAGCTTTAACCAGATTAAGACTGTCAGCTCATCATTTAAGTGTTGAAACTGGCAGATGGGGTAACATTTCCTTAAGCGACAGATTATGTAGCGCATGTCAAAAATTAGAGGACGAATTTCACCTATTGTTTGAATGTAAATTGTATAATTATATTAGGAAGCGATATATCAACCAATATTACATAATAAACCCAAATATGTATAAAATTGCAGAACTGTTTAACTCTCATTCAGTACAAATTGTAAGAAATTTAGCAATGTTTGTCTATAAAGCTTTCGAGATTAGAAAAGAATCTACATTGCAATGTTAGAGAGTAATAAATATTTATATACTGTATGATTCTTAAGTTCCTTTCTGAACTTTCATATGTTCCTCTTTAACTGTAAAAACATTTTCCTATTTTCAAACTTTATTTGATACCTTTTAAATGTTCGATATGTTGTATCATGTTCGTTATTCTTTTTTTTCTTGTTCTTTTCATAGTATTTTTATTATCCTCTTGTTAAACAATTTTCATTATAGCAAAAACTAAAGGTAAACAAATCTTGATTATCGTTTACGTTATAATTGACATGGTTATTTCCCTTGTATGCGTCATACTCGTCTTGTACTTTCGTTTTCGATACAAGGCAATTCGTCAAATACTAAAATGCATATTTGTATATGTGTCTAAATCTGACATATTCATATCTGACATAAAAACATGTCATGCTTTAGAGTTTTAGTAGTAAAAATAATGGTCTTGTAATTTCATTTTCGATACAAGGCATTATGTTACATATATATATATATATATTTATATGTATACATTTGTAGGATGTTAGTAATACCAAACATTATAAATATTTATATATGAGCATATTATGATAAAACAAGTAAACATGTTTAGTAAAAAGAACACATACAGAACAAGGTAACAAACCAAATAATCAAAGAGATAAATATGTAAATGAATTAAAATGTAAATGACATAATATAGTTTTGATAATATATGAATGTAACAATATGTTGAAAGTCAGTAATATTATTATTCAATGTCCGTCATTGTATTGTAATTAATGTATTGTGTAAGGACCATTGTGTAATGTATTGTACTGATGAGAATGTTGTAATTTTATTTGTGTCAGGTCAAGGGCTTATTAGCCTAAACCAGACTATTGTTGTTTACATGTGGATTTTGAAATAAAATTCTTCTTCTTCTTCTTCTTCTTCTTCTTCATCTATTTGCCACTATCTGTGACTATTAATTTCATATTGATAGATAAAGATCTCTTCCAAGCCCCCAGGCAGGAGATTAACAACTGGATAACAGCAATAAATGTTTTGATAAGGGAGTACACTACAGCCAATAAAGTTTCAAACTGACAAAAATATATTCCAGCCCAGCTGGTAAACATATCTTAGGGCCAAGCTGGGGGGGGGGGGGCGGCTGCAGCCCTGAAGCCCGGGCCTGAATCCGCCACTGAATTGTCTATAGAACATCCAATGTGACACTTTCAAAGACATGTTTACAAACCAATGCACACTTTTTTATTGTAGTTTTTTAAAGAAGATACATGCATCTAAGCAGTTCCCTTGCAAACTTAGGCGATTAATTTTGCTATCAAGTTTTCAATAAAAGAAATTTGAAATACGCACTGACTAGAGAGGTTAAAAGGTATTTCCATATTATAACAAAATAAGGTTTAAAAGGTAGAACAAGCAAGTTGTGTGGAAATAAATATATGTCTATGATTGGTCGTTCATTCAATTTGTAATCTAGCTATACCGTATAAAATTAAATGTTAAAAAATCAGCTTGACTGTCTATCCAGCCGTCTGTCTTCTTTATTGTTTTTTTATCCTGATTTTCACTCAAAAGGATATCAATAAAAAACTTCATGGACAGATGGGTCTTATTGAGAAGTAACATAACTTTGTCCAGGGTCTTTCAAATTGAACAGGTCTATTTGAAAGACCGGTACCTGCTTTGTCTTTGTTGCTTTGTCTGAGTTTTTGCACTTTATAATTTTTCAAACTTAATTAAAGATACCCGGAGAATAGTTCGCAGAATTTTCATATACAGGAGGAGTAAACATTGTTCAAATTATAATTAATATAGATTAATCAAAGACGAAAAAATATAGATTTTTTATACATGTATTCAATTGGATCGATAGATCCCGTTTAAGCTACAGTAGTGTTCAATGTGCAATAAATTAATGCTGAATTTTACATATGTTTAACGATCGTTAACGATTATGTTAAGTCATGTAAAATAAAGCTTGTTCTAGATAACGGATAAAAAGTAGAACATACAATGCGTATAAAACTAGTTCTTTTACTACGATATACGTGCCAACTAGCTATCTTTACGACATATCAGATATAATTTCTTGAATTCAAATACATTCGGTTATTCGAAGAGAAATTTCATCATCCTTGTACTAAACAAATTGTTTTTCAAATCATCGAAAACTGACAAGTTGTCATTCCTTGAATGTGATTTTCTTGTGTTTACGACATAATCAGTTGCAAACATAAACAAACATGGCGGTTGCAGAAACAGTTCCGTTGCTGATGAGGATTGTGTCTTCGTCAGTGGCAGTATCGTACAGAGCCGCAAATATTGCTAGAGAAATTCTGTCGAAAGGTGATTTAGGAATTGTTGAAAAGGCAAGTTTTAATCATTAACCACTGTTTTTAACGTTATAAAATAATCTTTGTTGCAGTTTTTTTCATGAATGAACTTGTTGATGGAAATAAATTGAAATTTATTTAAGATCTCGATAAATTTACGCTGATTATGTAAAAGAATGCATGTAATTTAAAGAGTTTCACTCACTGATTTCAATTCAAGTGAAATTTATTTATGTGTTGATACTACATTCTAGATCAAATACACAGGGGAGCTAACTCTCATTGTAAAATGTCCTACATTTTAGCCTTGATTATTTTATCAAATTCTAACTTAGTAAAATTTATATGCTCATAAAAAGGCATTCTTTAACTAATATATAATATGAAAATAGGTGCTACCTATGGCGCGGAAAACGCTTATGAATTATGATTTTAGCATAACATATTTAGTGTACATGTAAACGAAGGTATTTTGTACCATATAAACAAAACGAATAAATTGGTGGTGTTCAACCTTTTATCGGAGCGCTCGGAATATTCCGAAAATCCCCTAACATAAAGGGGGACCTCTGCGCGTGCGTCGGCGCTTGGAAAAACCCGTCCGCCATTTTTTGTTAATCTCTAATCTAACTTTATTTTTAATGTGCTTATTTTTTAAAAAGGATATGTTAAAGTAACTATTTATATCTATAATCGTTACTATAATTCTTATCAATGAAATGCAGGTTTATTTTCTGATTTTGTACATCATTCTTTCACCGAAAGTGTTACTTAGTATGTCTGCTAGCAATAGTCTGAATTATGTAGACGCTCATTAAAAGCGCTTTGATATCTATATTTAGCTCAAAAGGATTCCAAAATGGCGGCGCCCAGTTAACTAAGGATTTTTTCACAGCTCATTAGGTAGATACGCGTCATACATGGTATCTAAGAGCGCTATAGCCCTCACGGGCCCTTTGGCCCCGCTCGGACTTTCCGCGTAATATGAAATAAGGCAAACTGGCAAAGCCTATGAACGGGGAAGACGTTAAAAATTCATTTAATTTTTTTCTGTTTTCGGTATTTCATGCACCACTTCCATTTTCACACGGAACACTCAACGTTTATTATCTTTTCTGAAAAGTTGAGATTTGTTCCCTTATCTGAATACACCTTCTTTTATCATTGAATTACATTGTAAATGGCACTGCCTTACTAGAAGTGACACTGAAAATTTAATTGATAGGTATAGAATTCTAGATATATTTTTATGCCCCCACAATGTGGGAGCATATAGCGTTGCACTTGTCCGTCCGTCCGTATGTCCCGAAATCTTGTGAACGCAACTCCTCTTAAACCGGATGGCAGATTTTGCTTAAACTTACAGGGATGAACAACCTTAATGTGTAGATGGTAGTAAAGGAAGGAATTTTCACTGTGACCAAATTTAACAGAATTATGGCCCTTTGTTGATTTTTTCACTAGATACTACGTAGAAATTTTGTGAACGCAACTCCTCTTAAACTGGATGGCAGATTTTGCTTAAACTTACAGGGATGAACAACCTTAATGTGTAGATGGTAGTAAAGGAAGGAATTTTTGCTGCGACCAAATTTAACAGAATTATGGCCCTTTGTTGATTTTTTTCACTATATACTATGTAGAAATTTTGTGAACGCAACTCCTCTTAAACCGGATGGCAGATTTTGCATAAACTTACAGGGATGAACAACCTTAAGGTGTAGATGGTAGTAAAGGAAGGAATTTTTGCTGCGACCAAATTTTACAGAATTATGGCCCTTTGTTGATTTTTTCACTATATACTATGTTGAAATTTTGTGAATGCATCTCCTCTTAAACCGGATGGCAGATTTTGCTTAAACTTCCAGGGATGAACAACCTTAATGTGTAGATGGCAGTAAAGGAAGGAATTTTTGCTGCAACCAAATTTAACAGAATTATGGCCCTTTGTTGATTTTTTCATTATATACTATGTAGAAATTTTGTGAACGCAACTCCTCTTAAACCGGATAGCAGATTTTGCTTAAACTTCCAGGGATGAACAACCTTAATGTGTAGATGGTAGTAAAGGAAGGAATTTTTGCTGCGACCAAATTTAACAGAATTATGGCCCTTTGTTGATTTTTAGTTTTCAACTTGTGGCACATGTAGTCCAAAAAATATTTGACCTAGAGTCATAAGATTGACAGAACAGTGGCGTGTGGGGGCATCCGTGTCCTATGGACACATTTCTAGTTTTAATTGTTTTTTATTTGATTTTCTTTTAAATATACACGTTTAGTCTATAGCCAGGCAAGCCAAAGCACGGGCCCGCCTTATAGTAATGCGCGCCCTGACTTTGACTTCCCCGTATAAAGGTTCTCATACCCACATTGCATCACTGGGCATATTCAGACCATAGGTGTCTGGTGCGTTGATTGGTCACTCAAACCTCCTACCTCTCAAAACCATGTAAAGTGCAGTATTTTTCATTTGAAACATGTTTTAATATTTGGTATATGCTTGTAATTCAATTACCTGCATTTCCCACCAAAAAAAAAAATTGATACAAAAGGTATGCAACTTGCTGCTCATTTTTCAGCACTCATCTTAATATGAACTCCATAACTCCAACATTTTTTCACTAATTTTCAATATCTTGGTACCAAATGCCATTGAAATGGTAGGGAATTGATTACTCTTAAAGGAAATAAAGCTGTCATTATAATCATTTCAAGTTATAAGAAGATATGTAATCTCGAAGTCACCCCAAGTGTAACTCAACAGAGACCTGAGTCAAAATTACCAGACTAAATGGCAGTTTATTCGAAATGAATATTTTTTTGAATTGCTCATATAAATATGATCAAATTATATTATTATTTGTAATAACTGGTCAATCAAAACATCATATACAACTATAACAAACTATTTTTTTGATATGAGATAGAGGTAGGAGGGTTGTAGAGTAGGTGAGGGGGGGGTAGTGACCAATCAACCCACCGAACACCTATGATTCAGACATTTCATTAAATCCTGAATATCAACAGAATTTAGAAATGTAAGGCTTCAAAGTTTTAACCAAAGGTGTTCAGCACACTGAAATGGTCGAATTATCATAAAATAATCTTCCCTTGGTCATCATAAATAAAATCACTATCCAACACCCATTTACTGTACATAATACAGTAAGTCAGATGAAAAAAGATTCTGTTTTTTGTTATTTCACATTTTTCATTTTAAATGTGTCATTTTGTATTTCATGCACTGCTTCATTTTCAATGGAAAACCTAGACAAATTATTTCTAAGCAGAAAAGTTCTGATTAACCAGTTATGGAAATACTTCACCATTTATCATTGATTTGCATGAAAAAATTTATTAAATTAAATTAAAAATTGGGCATTTTAATAGAAATTAAACTGATAGGTATAGAAATCTATGTATTTTTTATTTGCTTTTTTTTTTATTTCCTTTTAAATATACTAATGTAGTAATAGTTTATGGCTGGACAAGCCAAAGCCCTAACCCTTTGTGGACCTGGCTTTTGACTTTCCCTTATATATACAATGGAATATTATTAGCATTCAGTTGTTCTTATATAAAGTGCTCGAATCCTTGTAATTTTGTGACCTCAAATTGACATGAAAATTAATACATCATTATAAGCATCTATAGGATGAAAATAATGAAGCTTTTGGGGCTTTGCTGCCTGGTCCTTAAACCCCACATATTTCTGTGTTTTAGCAATTTTGGCCTCTCAACACTCCCCCTTAAATCCTGGATCTGCCCTTGGATTCACAACAGGTTAACAATTTAACACTCTTGACTATAGAAAAAATGAAAAGTGTTCTACAATGTACTTTAACAAGTGCAATATGATGTAATACAATGATAAAGAAATATATTTACTTCATTTATTTTTCAGGGTGGTAAAAATGACCTACAGACAGAGGCAGATAGATCAGCACAGAGATGTATTGTAGCTTCATTACACAAACAATTCCCTAAAATTGCTATATATGGTGAAGAGGTATGTAATTCATTATTATTCAGAGCATTCTAGCTTGTCCTTGATGTTGTGTCTGTGGAACATTGATATAAAATATCAAGACATAACTACAAAACCTTTCTTGTAATTGTTTCCAACATCTATACTGTTCAGACTCTAATTTTCATGACCTGGTTAATATTGAAATATTCACCATCATATGCTGTAATGGAAAGTTATATAGTGACATTTTATAATAAACAAAAAGGGGGCATTTGTTTGACCTTTCTTGAATTGTTTTAATCACAAAGTTAGAGTTAACAATACTTCTGAATCCTAAAGACATGTTTTGGTGTAAACATCCTTAGATATGTTGTATGTGGGTAATTAGGAATACTGAGGGGGAATACATTTATAGTATAAGACTTTTGTTTGTCTGAATTAGCAATTTAATTGTTCTACTTTGCCAATGATATTAAAAAATACATGTGTATTCTTTAAGTAAAAATATTCTTTTTATTGTTTTCTGTTCATGTAACTTAACATACACAAATTATAAATAGCAACAAATTGCACTTCAAGTGAAATAAATGTCAAACTAAATTGCCACAAATTAATTTGTTTATTGGTGTTTGTTTTATATAAACTTGTTATATTATAATTTATATAAAGTATTTAAGGACTCACAGAGTGCAACCACTTGATTTTAAACTTGTGTAATAAGTGTAGATAAAAATCAACCTAGTTTTTAACCTGTTATCTGTATGTTGGTATTCAATATCATGTACGTTCTAGTTTATCAAACACTCTATTAACATAAAGTTCATAATATGTTACAAATTATTTTTCATCTGTTTATATTGTTGTCTTTTGTCTGCTTGTTTTTTCTTCACATTTTTATCTGTTAAAAGCGACATGTCTCAAGATTCTTGTTAATTTTCATGAAATTTTGAAAATTTATTTAAACATATAATGTTGTGAAGTGAACAAAGAAAGTTATTTACACATTACAAACAGCACTTAAATTCCTTGTATATTTCCAAAAAAGAGGTCAAGTTATTCAAAAGTACTTTTAAAGTAGCCCTTACTGTAAGTCATGCAGTAGAAATTATCAATATGGTGATAAATACTGCAAAAACAAATATTTATTGCACATACAATGTTAATTATTACTTGAATCTTTTTACTTTTCTTAAAATCTTAGTACATATTTCTCAAATTTGATTTTCTTGAAATATTTTGGCTCATAATATGAAATCATGCAGTTTTACTGAGTGATAAACTACATTTGTTTATGTATATTATTTTGAAATGTTAGATAAACTGATACCCTGTTAAAGATTTTTTATATATGCTTAATCGTCAGGTTTGTTTCTTTCTTTAGAGCACAGAGCACCATTTATGATAACAGAATATATGTTACATCAAACATTTTCTTGGTTTATATGTAGGCCAAAATAATTTAATAATTTACTGTAAATTATTATTACCCTTGAATCATAAGACTATATGTAGCACTCATAAATTTAGCACTCATAAATTTAGCACTCATAAATTTGTGATGAAACAAAAAGAAAACATATGTAGTTAAATATTCTTATAACACATGTATGATTTTTCCATTGTAGGAATTAGCTCCAACAACCAAAATTCCAGATAACTTTTTTGAGCTAGGATTTGATGAAGAAGTACTGAAACATGAATGTCCAAAGAATTTACAGAATATCAAAAATGAAGATGTAAATATCATAACAATTCTAGACTAATCAGTTTGATCTTTATAAAATATTCATGTTAATTATAGAATGTATGAATGGTTTATATATATATCTGTTCAGTTAACACTCAATAGTCTATCATCTGCCTGTATATCTTAAATAATAATATGATTTATGATACGAAAGGTGAAATCTTTTTATAAAACATATACATGTAATGCACACTAAAAAGCATTATTTACTATATAGCATATACACACATGTGTTGTTAGAAATATTTCAATTTATATTTAAATTGAAACATATTTCTTAAAAAGATGATGCCCTTTTTTTCCAATTAATCATCTCTAAGAATTCTGTTTGACAGGATCCTATCCTATAGTAAGCATTAAGGACTTGGAATAATTTCAATTAAAAAAGGTATCCAGCTAGCTTATGTAAAGCAATAGTGATTCTGATCAAGTGTCTACTGTGCCCAAAATTATGCTCAAAAGGACATCTAAGGTCTTATTTTACCAGAAAAGCTTGAAAGTTGCCATGTGATGTTATCAGTGATAGTGCGACTAAAATTCCAAAATCAACAAAAAATTAATGTATTGTTTAAACCAACGTGTTATATTCTTATTTTGCAGATAGTTATTTGGGTAGACCCATTAGATGGAACTAAAGAATTTACAGAGGGTTTGTTTCTTAAAATTATATATAGATGTGCCAGTTTGTCAGCTTATTTCAACTTTTGTAAGATTATATACATGATTATACAATACACAATCATGTGAAATCAAAGAAAAGAAAAGAAGTTTGTAACATAATATGTGATAACTACTGAAGGGTTTGTGCCATTTTTGGGACAATTTTATGCATTCATAATAATAAAGCAGTAATTTACTGGGTAAAACATCTAAATAACAAGCCTTTGTACCTTTTCAGACAATTTTATGTATTCATATAGGTAAGCATTATTATACTCAATGTAACACCCTTAGTGACAACTTCGAATAGTCGAGGGTTTCTGCCCTCCAACAGTTCTTGTTAATGGTTACGGCACTTGTCTAAATATAGATCATCAACAGTGATTTTATTGCATATTTACACACATTTTCACTCCTTCTGTGTTTAAAAGGGAAAAATGCGGGTCGTATTAGATTAAACATGAATATATAATAGTATTGTAGAATATGTAATAAACATGAAAATATCAGTAAAACTATTGTAATTGTAGGTTTCCTGGATCATGTGACAGTTTTGATAGGTATTGCTATACGTGGTGTGGCAACTGCTGGCATCATCAATCAACCCTTCCATAACTATGAAGAATTACCTAAATATGGCAAATCTAGGTGTATCTGGGGAATACTTGGTCTAGGTGAGTATTTATGTGAGACTTTGTCTTTATACATTGTTTAAATGTAGATGCTTAAAAAAATATATATATATATGATCTATAATACCGGTGGTCTCTGTGACTTAATTGTAAAAGTTGTGAACTTTTGGTCATTTGTACCTCTTATCTGTAGATTTGATCCTATTTTATTAAGGTATCGAATTCCTTGATTTCAAGAAAATACCAAAAAAAATGTAATAAAGACAGCTTTTGGAGGTTCAGTGATTTGGTTTCTACAGAATTTATTTTAAGAAGCTATAAGCTTATAGACACACTTTTGATCCTTTCCTGGAACCAACCAGTACTGAGCAATGAGTGTAAAGTTTTTTGCTCAAGGAAACAACAACTTGCCCCTGACTGGGTTTGAACCCATGTGGCTAGCAATCATTAAATTACTAGTCTGACATGTTCACCACTCGGCTATGCCACCACTTTTTCAGTGATTTGACTTGTCTATGCTTGAAAAATAAAAAAAAAGAGATAAAGCTGGTTAATTGCCATAGAATCTTACAGTTGGTTTTGGTGTGACTTTAAAATATTTTGCAGTATCTAATAAATATTTTGTATTTGTTCATAAATATAACAATGATGTTTTAAATTTTGTTAGGGCTGTCATTGAATATCCATATATATCATAGATATTCAACATCAATACAATATCGATACACACTTTCAAATATCAATACAAGCTAAAATTTATTTTTGTTGGTAAATATACCTCTCTATTTTGCCTTATAAGAGAAGACACTTTTTTCCAGTTTTATTGGCTAACTTGAACTTTAAACTCTGTTTTCAAATGTCAGTAACAAAAATGACAAAAAAACCACAAAACTTTCTGTTAGTTTGTAGTATTTGTAATGTCTAAAAAAAGCATGCATAACACTGTGATCCCAATTGATAACACATATTTAAATGTTTTTCATTGTATCTACTGTCAAAGTTGATATATCAATATACATGTATTGTCAATATCTGTGTCTCGATATATCAACCAAAATTTTCTACCAATGAGAGCCCTTAATTTTGCAAGGTATAAAAATCATTTTAGACAAAGTTGTATATTGCAATCTATGATTGTTCAGTGAAAATTTAAAATTCTGTCAGGAAGCATTGTCTTTTCAACATGTGTTTGTAATCAAGCCCAGTCTTTGTATTAACCAGTTCTGTTGTTATACTAGTAGCAAAACCCATGAAGCGCTTGACCCAACAACCTCTGGGCAGATGCCAGAGATAACCACTGTCACTGCTTCCCTTAATACAAAAATAAAATGTTTACATTGCTAAATATAAGCTTTTATGATTTACAGGATCATTTGGTTTTGAACGTAATGAGAATTTAGAAGGTAGAATAATAACAACAACTAGATCTCATTCTGACTACACAATTACAAAAACTGTACAGGCTTGTGATCCCACAGAGGTACTCAGAGTGGGCGGGGCCGGGCATAAGGTTTGTTTATATTATCTTCTCAAGAGGAGTAGCACCAAACCCATCCGTATATACTGAAAATAGATCTTGATCTGTTTGTGGATTTTACAACAAAAAATGATAATATATTGTGCCACTGAGATAGGGATTATTGATTTAAAGAAATTATAATTGAATCATTGTAATCACTCATTTGATTTTATTAAGTTTCTCAGGTAATGCAATGATGTACAATATGTTGTACATTGTATAGGATTTTGCCTGACTTTGACTGATATGGATAGTAATTAGGCTCACTTTCGTTTGGCGTTTCTACTTTAGTAATGCTGCATACACAGAAGTCATTTTCTTCCTAAATTCTCAACACAAGCTTCATGAATTTCATGTTTGACATTACTATAATAGTGAACAGTCATGCTTTCAATATTTTTCATATTTCAATATTTATGACTTATATTATTGATTCATATATATCATCTATTACTAATGTATGTAGTTTGTCCCTGTGGATGTTTATTAAGTAGATACTTTATTTCAGGTATTGTTATTGATAGAGAAGAAAGCACATGCTTATGTTTTTGCCAGTATCCACTGTAAGAAATGGGATACTTGTGCACCAGAAGCTATCCTACATTCATTAGGTGGTAAATTAACAGATTTACACGGAAAACCTATACCATACCATGCTAATGTTGTTCACAAAAACACAGGAGGTGTGTTAGCAACTGTAGAGAATCATGACTGGTATGTTAATAGAATAAAGGAAAATGTAGACCCAGAGACACTCGCAAAGTTTGAGTCAGTGAAACCTGCCCCGCCTACACTAGAGACCACCCTGTCACAACAGCGACTGAATGTAAATCCCGGAGATAAGGATAAAGGCAATTCTGATCAGTCACAGGTAACAGAGCTAATTAATGAAACAACCGAGACTACATACCTCTAAACTTGGGGCCATTATTTTGTATATACTTAGCTGATTATTAATCAAATGTTTATAGATCTGCTTTATTTGTTTTACTATCATCATCATTATACAAAACTCCAGTATTCATTGTTCATTAAAAAAGAACACTCTTTAATTTACTTCTTTATCAACTACTATTCTCATTAGGCAGCTATTAATTGATGTAATCAAACATTACCAACTAAAATGTCTTAAATGACGCCATTATTTAATAATTATTGAAAGTCTTTTTTGATACATAGTCCTCAGACCTTTAAGTCATCAGAAATTTAAATAATCTTCATATTATACTAAGGCTCTATATACATATTTCTAGTTTATCCTAAGTGGTGAAAATCCATGAACAAAATGTTTGTCAATGATTTTAAATTATGTAAATATTTCACTGTAATATTTCGATGATATTAATTGCCCTAAGTCAAATATAGAGCGCCAGCCAATATGTAGTATGGACCAGATTCTATACAGTTAACTGCTCATTTATGGAGTATTTGTTTTTAACTTTCAACCATTTGAAACCAAAAGCTTTTGCCACCGATATAGAATCAGATCCACATGCCCATCTATGCTTATATAACTTGACTCAGCACTTTTGGCTAACCAATTTTTCATCTTGATGTCCCAAGACAGAAGCTGGACAAAACCGTTACAAAATCTAGTCGGTTAAGGGTTAAATCTCTAAATATTATAGTTCACTGCACTAATTTGAAAGCAGGACAATTTCATTTTACAAAGTAAGCAAGGAATGGCTGATTGAAGGTGTATGGTAATAGATCAGAAAATTTATACTATTTTCTTTGCTTCTTACTCCATTTTCTTATTATTTATAAATTTTAGAATCAGTGCAGAACTTTCTCCTTGCATGCTGTCTTTTTTTAATACAAAACCCAGATGCTCTTCTGCTCTAATTCTCTAGATAATATTTAAGCTTATCTAATCTTGGTGAGCCACCATGATAGCTGCATGCCTGTACCATTTATATACATGTGTATTGGGTTATAGCACCGGCCTCAACATAATGTAGTTCTACAATCAGCAATTATCTAAAGTAATGATAGATACAATGTTCACCATCAGATTACTGGTTTACAGAAATGTCCCTTGTTAGACATGTTGACATGATTCCCAAGTTACTTGAACATTATACTGGACATACTAGTCCTAGAACTGTCTCCTTTATAACTTGTGCCAATGTTATAAGCTACTACTTACATAATTTTTTTTTCTTTCATTTGTTTAACACATGTAATACCTGTATATGAGGTAGACCCTATATCACCATGTCAATGCTGCAGTTATGATCATGTCCTTTAAACATATGCTTTATCATCTTAACATAATCATAATAAAATAATATATATTCACTTAAATGCTGTCTGTGGGATTCTGTTTTAGATATTATATGTTGGGGTCCCTTTTAGATAGATATTACTCCTTAATTACACTTTGAAAAACACCTTTCGTTAAAAGAAAACCTTCTTTAAAGGCTAGACATTCATTTAAACCAGCTGGAAATCTGGTGAAAAAAATAAAAATTTTTCAAATACTAAGGGCTTGGTTAAAAATTAAATAAAAAACTTTTTTAAAATTTAATTCAAAAATTTTTACAAATTCATCAAAATAATGGATAAAAATTTTTTTTTTATGAAAACGGGTGTTTTTATTTAAAAATTTTTTAATTTGGTTTAAAGCACTTTAAATTATTTAATTATTAACTTTTTACTATTTTAAATTTTTTACCTCAACATCTAAAAAAATTATTTTTAAAGTTTTACTGAGTTTAAAACCAAAGGACCAGTGTGCAAAAAAAAAACAACTGGAAAATCTTTGTTTGCATAAAAATAAATATATACGACAACCTAGTGAAACATTTAAAACTTTACGATTCTATGAATATATGTGATTTTTATCTGCACTTTTATAGCATTGCCATATTGCTGTGTACCTTCCACTGTAATATAACATGTGTTGTTGATTTGGATTTGATGTGACTGATACACACGTTGTCTTGTCTAATTGTTGTAGGATTTTGCGCCACACTGATCTTCTGTCGCTAGTACGGGGGTGGGTAGACATTATTCATGGCCTAACCCGATCGGGGATCACCTTTGTTGGGGCCATTATATAGTCATCTTTTAGGTATTTGTTTATCAGGGGGTTTATATTTTTTAGTTCATAGAGATTAGTCCATTATTATATTATTATAATCTGGGTTTAACAATCTCAACCCTTCTGATTCAAGTTATATAACTTGTCATCCAAAAGCAATAGCAAAATGGAAAATACTACATGACCATTTGTATTTTAAATTATTTTCATGTTAATCAGTATGTTTTAACAAGGGTTGTTAACAAATGTTGGAATCATTTAAAAATTATATTCATAGTTTAAAAAACTCTAAAGGGGAATTTTAAATTTTTTAAGAAAAAATTGTTTTTTAAAAAATAATTTTATTTCATTCCCTTTTATTATTTTGATAGGGTTTTGTATCCGGAAAACTTACAGGTTTATTTTATATGAAAATTGCAGAAGGACTTTTTTCAATTGTTAGGGGAGGGTAAAACCCCAAAGAAAAGTATTGTATGTAACATTAAATCAAAAAGGGGTTTGCAAATTTTTTAAGTTTTTTATTAAACTATTGCTGTTTAATATGCTAAAAACAAACTCTATATTTAAAAATTTTAAACGGGGAAAAATTTTGTTCAGTATTTTTTCTGTATGAGTTTCACAGAAATGTGTGTGTGTTCTAAACGGGAAAATAAATTATTTTATTGTTTTAAATAACCTTCGGGGGCCCCTAATTTAATGTTAGTTTTTTAACTTTTTAACCCAAAAATTATTTTATTTGACATTCCGGGGCATGTCCTATTTTTATTTATACTTTTTTGTTTTAGTGTTTTTTTTTTATGATAAAAGGGGTAATTTTTTAAACTAAAATTTGGGGCCCCATAAAAAAGGGTTAAAAATTTTGGGGCACCATTCCTTAGCTCTATTCAGGTTTGTTAAGGGGAAAACCCACTGAGGCTTTTTTGCATAAAACGGGTTTGGGGGAAATAATATTTTTTAAAGGGGAAAAATTTTCCCCATTTAATATGGGGTCTAAAACCAATAATTTTTGGTATGAAAAATTTTTTGGGTTTTCTTTTTGGGCTCGGGGGCATTTTTTGCCCAGAAAAAATTATTTTTCCAATCTTTAAAAATTTGTTCCCTTAAAAATCGGGCCTTTTTTTGGGAAATAGGACTAAAATGGAAATTTTTCCCCGGGGCCTTTTTGAGTTTTTAAAAAATGTCCCTTTGTTTTTTAATTTTTTGTTTTTTTTTTAAGTCCCTTCAGTAATAGTTTTTAATAAAATTAAATTTTATGTTAGTGGGGTTTTTAAAACTCTGTGGATTTCCTTTTAAAGGAGGGGTCAAAATTTTTTGTTTTAAAATGAGGCTAAAAATATTTCTATAAACAAGAGGGGACACAAAACTTTTCATAAAGTTTTATTTTCCCTTTCACCATCCCCCCTGTTGGATGAAACTAAAGTGGTTTTAATTTTTTAAAACACACAAATTCTGTCCCCCAAAAGGTAAAAATTTTTAATATGCAAATGTTAAAACTTCCAGTTTCAAAAGTGCCATTTTTTCAATAAAAAAGGGGTTTTTCCAAAAATTTTTAAAATTTTCATATTTTGAAAGGGCAATGTCTGTAATATACTATGATAATACATAAATTTCAATAAAGTTTAAATCAATGCAAGAAACCTTGAATTTTAATGCTTATGTTTCCTTGTGGACTTACAAGTATGCATTTGATATTGATACATTGCAAAATTGCAATATAAATAGGCAATTAAAAAAGAATTGAAGTTGACTAGGAAGCTGGAAACAAAGAATTTAAAGAAATTGCATGTCAGTATCATTAATTTATCATGATGTTTGAAAATTACTTCTAATAGATGCATACAACTCTCTGTACATGAATTCTAAAGTGATTTTTATTATGGATTGAAGAAATGAAGAAAAGGTTTCATTAAACTTGAAATGTTATTTATTTTACAATAGGCTCATTAATTTATCATGATGTTTGAAAATTACTTCTAATAGATGCATACAACTCTCTGTACATGAATTCTAAAGTGATTTTTATTATGGATTGAAGAAATGAAGAAAAGGTTTCATTAAACTTGAAATGTTATTTATTTTACAATAGGCTCTGTTATTTTCATAGACCTCAAAGGAGATGTCTACTAGTACATGTATGGTAATTTTTATTTTATATGAGTACACATTATCAGTTCTGTAGTGATACTGAAGACATCATTTAATTGCAAAACTTTGTTTGCTAATCAAAATTGCAAACCAATGAGAGATTAGTATTTTAAAACTTGCCGAAATATTATCATAAAAAAAGTATATAATTATATCAAAACAGAAAATCAGTGCCAAACAATTTGATTTTTGCCACATATACCCCCCAAGAATGTAATGCTATACACCTATTTTACACTATGCTTATTCTTGAACTTGCTTTCTAAGATATATAAATTGCTGAAGTACTTTCTGGGCTGCTTTAATATAAGTCCTGTACCTTTTTTTTTATTGATATATGGTAATAAATGATAAATCTTAGCAAGGTTAATGCCTTAATCATTTTTTATATTTTTCTTATCCTTTATTCAAAGAGAATATTTATGTAACAGTTTATGTTATTTATTGTATAATCACGATTTAAGGTTGTCTATGGAACACTGTTGTATGGTGAGCCCTCAGTTACCACTTAGAACTTGAAGACTTTAACATGTTTGTTGCTGAGAATATCTACAACTTAAATATTATAATATTTGTTGTATTATTTGTATATGTATATGAATAGTTTTGATTTTAATGTACAATTGTGTTCCATGTTTGTTAAATGAAAGTTATTGAATGCTTGTAAACAATTAAGAAGTGATTTCAAGTTGAGTTAGTCATATTTTGATATTATGTTTATAAGTAATAAATTTTTAGTTTGACTATCTGATGAACAGTTTGGCTATTTTAATTATCCTAGTATCAGCCTTGATGTTATACTTTAAGTGAAACTATATGTGCTGTTTTATGTGTATCTGAATGTAATTGAGTTAAAATGCAAGATAAGAGGGTTTGTACAGACCTGGAAATATGGATAATATCTCAAACATGGAAATGTTATGGAATTTCCAAAATAGAAAATTTGTTACTGAAATATCATGGATTTTCAAAAACTATCTTGGACTTCAGAATTTATGCCTTAGTTAAGGTTTATGAAATACAAAGGGTAGTGTATTGTATATGCAAATACTGGTATATTTGTTATATATTGGTATAACAATCAATTAAAATACCTCAGAATGTATGTTATTATCAGTTTAAATGAAGGATTTTTTATGTCTGCATATTTTACATACATGTTTTGATTTATGTAAAATATGAAAGGTAAACTAAATAACATTAAGGAAACTGTATTGTATTTTCTGTAAACTAATTGGAATGACCAAACATTTAGATCTTAGTAAAGAAATAATGTATGTATCACAATTAGAAGCTGCACTCCTACACATGATTAAACAATTTAGAAAAAAAAAAGTTCAATATGAATTAGGTTTTAGTAAAAATTCATCTACATGTTTTTAAAAAAATTCACAATCCATGCAGTGAATGAATCAGCTTGTTTCCATTATAACTAACTTAGTAAGGCTAGCTATTTTTGCATATTTTGACAATTCTAGATTTTTAGAATAATAAGTGCTTAAAGTGACACTGAAACACTTTAATTGTTAAAAGTTTTGCTGCATGTACTAGTATTTAGTGCATTTCTTAATACGCTTCTTCAATTTTTATCATGAATCTAGAGGCTTGCTGCTCTTACAAATATATGTGTTTCAATTTTTTTTATAAAAGAAAAAAAAAAATTTTTTTTTAAAAGAAAAAAATTGCTGTTTTGGGTAGAAAACCCATGTAACTGAGAGAACATTCAATAACTCATAATATTGCCATTTGTATATATAAAGGTAAAAGATTGATGATGTCGACTTAAAAATATATAATTCCTAGCAATCTTCTAATCATTGTTCACTTTTTTACATATTTATTAAGATATTACTGTTTATTCGTATATTTTTGTTGTTACTATATTTACCATGTTTTTCATTTTATCTTTGTTGGTCATAGTTAAAA